CAGGAGGTGGAGCCAAAATTCAACCCAAGATATGAGGATATAAATGCATAGCATTCGAACAGGTGGGGTAATTAGCAATTCAATAATAAGCCAGTCAGAAATGCACACATTGGTGCAGTATAGCAGATGGGACAAATAATAAGTTTATGGAGGCGGAAGGAATGTGAAACAGTGTGGCAAAAGCAATCACACACTGTAAAACTGTTCTGTNATACTGTATATATATACTGTCACACTATAACATTTCAGACAACTCGTCCTGACATATGAAAATTTTGTCCGAAATATCATATGCTGAAGATTGGACATACTGTAAACATATCATATTGCTAAAGATTTGGACCAAAAGGGTAATTTATCTGCAGCCTATTCATAACTTATACAAGTTTATGACAATCTTTAACAAATGTTAATGTGTAACGTTAGGGCAGACTGCTAATCAAATTTTGTCGAATTTACCCATGGCATGTTGGATCATTATAATAATCAAGGTTTTGTCACACAGTGACTCAAAGCATCGTCTGAAAAAATGGCCACCACACTGGTGTAAATAGGTTACCAGCATGTTGCATATGATAGTAAAAGTTTCCAAACCCAAACTCTGAACTTGCACTAAATTTCCAGTGTACGTGGGCATACTTCCCATAAGTTAGACATGAGTTAAAGGTATGAGACAGGTATGTTTTGCATAAGTTCACACACATTACGTCAAAGGGGACAAACGTTGGAAACTAGCTTGTGTCCAATTTGTGTGGTAAAACTTGGAAAGCTTGTCAAATCCTCATACACACCTTTATTGTTTTAGTTTAGAATAAAAGTGCAATTGATTGTTGATTTTTAGCTGGATGGTGTGCTTATAAATGTGTCTACATCCCAATAAGTGCCTGAAGAAATAAATATTTTAAAGAAATCTGTGTGAGTTTGAAGTTTTGAAAGTATTTGTGAATTATGCCAGATTTTAAAAAAAATCAAAATCAAGATGAAAAAACATTTCATCCTTTTAAGTGCATGGTCTGGTAGCTTTACAAGACAGAGCTATCTGCAAACATGTGGTCAGTTTGTGACCTGCCTGAAAAACAGAATAAACTGAGTTCTCAGTGGATGCTCAGCAGCACGGTTTGCACCATGGAATTGCTTGTTTTCTGCAGTGGAACCAGCTATAACATCACAGTATTGAGTAAAGTTGCCCATGTGTGTTATGCAGAGGGCCCGAGCTTGAGTCCAGGTGTGTTTGGAGATAGGGGAGTGCTGAATTTCCTCTACAGACACCTAGAAGGCCTTTAAAGCCACTGTGATATGAGTGAAGCTCATTTCCAGTGCCGAATGACACCCAGACCATAAACCTTACACAATTTTTTACAAACTAAGCATGTGTCTTAAATGCAACGGGATGAAATATAAACAAGATATTTTAAAGTAATTTCCACAATCATTTTGTTTAATTTTAGCTTTTAAAGTCATATTCATGAAAATATCCAAAAGCAGCACAAATGAATTCTCACATTTCACTTTTATACTGAAGCCTCTCAGATTATGTCCTTCAAACGAAAAATAAATAAATAAAAATAAACATTTAATAAAGTTGCCACGATGCTGCTTTCTCTCCTGGGATTGCCAAATGAAAGGATGGAGATATGATTTTAAATTGAAGCTGCCTTGATCTAACTCAAACACAATTATCTCCAAGCTATTTACATTTTTGTCATAAACCGTGCTCATTATTTTGGAAACAAATGCTCCTCTCCCTCTCGGTGTCGCGCGTGATTTGATATACAGTGCTACAATATGAAGCGATCTTTTCACACTGCATTGCCGTCGCCGTCCGGGAAGATTTTTGTGCCACTGCAGTGTCACAAGCATTTAATCTCCTCTCACCTCTTGGGGGAGGCGGCAGTGGAGGAAAAAATTTTTTTAATCTCTTCGTTTGAAGATGCACAGCAAATTGCTTGGCACCACTTTTCTTTTTGCCCGTGCTTGTCTTGAAACCCTAATGCATTCTAAATTTCTCATCGCGACTGTACAATCTGGTGGTTAAGGTTTGGAGAGTAAAACAAAAATCTGTTCTCTCTCTTATTTGTTTCTTTCGTTTCGTTGCAGCTTCAGCATCGAGCCCAACTATGATTTCTTGTACATCTATGACGGACCCGACAGCAGTGCCCATCTGATTGGCAGTTTCCAAGACAGTAAACTTCCAGAGAAGATTGAGAGCACTTCTAACTTCATGTACTTGGCATTTCGGAGCGACGGTTCTGTGAGCTACACTGGCTTTCATTTGGAATACAAAGGTACTTTAATTGCCTGTGCAAAGTGGGACTCTGTATGTTTCTACTGAATATGCTTATGTGTTAGAGCAGGGGATTTACTGTGCTGAATTATAAATGAATGAGTCTGAAATTAAGAATTTGAAATATGATGCTGTACACAGCTAAGTTATCTAGCCTTGAATCCATCCCATTTTTGTTTTAAGCATGTTTACCAAATGAATGAGCTTTAATTTATATTTTTATGAAATGAGGCCAATGCTTGTGTTCTGAATAAGGGGATTTATTTATTCTAATTTATGCCTGAGCTGGAGCCCTTCTTGTGTTAGATGGTTGTTTCTGTTGTAAAAGCTTTGTGTTTTTGATTGGCAGCAAAACTGCGGGAGGCCTGTTTTGATCCTGGGAACGTAATGAACGGCACTAGAATGGGTGCAGACTACAAGCTGGGATCTATGGTGACATTTCATTGCGAGGCGGGCTACCTGCTCCAGGGCCACTCTACCCTGACGTGTGTCATGGGCAACAGCAAGAGACCAGAATGGGACAGAGCCAAACCCAGCTGTCAAGGTAAGAGACAATGTTTCGGGAATAACAAAAGACCTTTGTTGGGCAGCAAAGAATGGCACCCCAATGGACTGCCACACATTTTATTGTTTGTAACACCAAAATAGCTGAACATTTGGTGGATCTACAACCTTGTGGATAAAATGTGGACTACAGCAGCAATTCTGCTGGCAGTTTCAAGCCGTGTCTTTACAGCCCCTCCAGCAAATTCTAAGTCTGCTCTGGGGTATTACGCATGTTGCACTGCAGATGGCCAATCCACCTGTCCATTTCACTCACCATAATCTCAACATTCATGAACAAGATTTTGAAATACATAAACTTCCATACTTTGGGCTGCATTACCCCCAAAGTTGGAGAGAATTATCTCTTGTCTGGCAGAGAATCATGGATTCAGACTTGAAGATTCTGACTCTAATCCTATGCCCTTTCCTGAGGCCTATACTACAAAGCAGTCTCACCATATCCAGGGTTCCTTTAATAAATCCATCTTAACTCACCCCGACAATGAAGATTCTGCTTAGTGGTGCTACAAAGCTGGTTATCACCTTGGTAAGTCAGCTCAGGGTTTCTGAGTCTGAATATGTGAGCATTCTTGTAAAACAAGTGGAGGTGCATCTGAGGACCAATCACTAAAGAAAGCAGACAAAAGGAGAAGGTAGACACGTGAGATTAATAAGATTACCAGTACCACTACCACAGTACCTCAAAGCACAAGTACATCCACTGATTATATGGTGCCTGTAATTGAATTAATGTGCTGTGGGTGCTGCCTTTTACTGAGACTGACGAAGTTTTGCCTTGTTCTGTCAAAGACTTTCAAACTAAATTAGGATAAAACAATGAAAATAATTCAGTTCAGCGAGAGGAGTTGTTATCAGTGAGTTTGTTTATTGTCAACAAAAGTTGTTTGTCCATTACATTTTAAAAACTTGTAGAGATTTTATAGGAATAATGTGGGGAAAGAAAAGAAATAATGTTTCATAGGTAGGTAAAAAAAAAATCAACAGTTATTGATTTAAAACCACATAATCATCATGTTATGGTTCTGTTGGCCACTTTGGGCCAAGACCTTCAGTTTGCAATTGGGCGGTTAGCAGCCGAGTGTAAAGTGGCCGGGACAGGAGTCACTTCCTCTAAGCCATGGTTCTTGACAGGAAAATTGTGGAACGCCCCTTCTGGGTTGGTATCTTGCTGTCTTGTTCACATAAGTGATGGCAGGATGAAGCAGGAGATGGATCAAGAGTGGCTGGGCTCAGCCTAGAGATAGGGTGAGGCGCTCTGACATTTTGCGGGAGCTCAGAGCCACTGCTCCTCTGCATCGAAAGGACTCAGTTGAGGTGGTTTGGAGATCTGATTAGTGCCCCCTAGATGCCTACCTTAAGAGGTGTTCTGGGCACATTCCATTGGTAGGAGGCCTAGGGGAAGACCCAGGACTTGCTGAAGGGATTATGCATCCCCTCTGGCCAGGGAAAACCTTGGGGTCTCCCAGTACGAGGTGGAAAGTGTCAACAGTTTTTATCTTAGACATGTTGCCTCCGCAACCTGACTACAGATAAGCAGCAGAAGATGAAGATGGAGATTATTTAACCAGCTGACATGAACAAACTTCAGACTGATCTGGATATATTGACATATACCATAAAGATAATTCTTAGTGTGTGTTAAAGGACCCATCCAGGAAGCATTAGCAATTGAAAATGTGACATTCTAAATTGATAAAGTCTCCTGGAATGGAAGCAAAATGTCTTTGGCTTCAGAATACAAAACAAAAGTAAGATTGTCCCACTGTTTTGCCCCTGTAGCTTTTCATTTTTATCATTAAAAAAACATTGATATGTAATCTCTAATCCAGCACAAGTTAACATGGCGACAGAACCAGCATCTTGCTGACAAAAACTTCCAAACTGGACCTAAAGTTCCGTAAACAAGCCACTATTCAGGCCTTTGGTCTGGTCTCTCTGGTGTATCTACCATGCACTTTCTGTTTTATAACATAAGTCTGCAATAGTCAGAGTGTTTCCACCTAAAATGATCCAACTTTTTTTTGAGGACTCCGCTATCACAATCCTAGAGGAGGAAAAAAGCGAAATAATTCTAACAATATCAAGATACCACCCTGCACCTCTCCACAGGGTAGAATTACTCCATTTATAATATTTGAAGTGTTGTATCTGCTAAGGTTAAATTAGAATGTAGTTCTCATTTTCAACATTGCTGAATGGGATCACACACGTTCACACCTGGGAGCAATTCATTACTTTTACACTTGGTACCTGCATAACTTCACTGATCAGCCTCGAAGACAGGTGTAATACTAAAGAGATCATCAGCATCTTATTTCACTTTGAGACTAAAGCTGGAGACCCACTTGTGCTCAAAGTACAGTTCACATGTAATGCATGTTTATTTTCACATTTTTGTTCAGTGTCAACAAGCAGCTGATTTTTCTCATGCAATAATTGAAACACTGCATTTTTTATCAAACATTAAACTAATTAAGCATTAAAATATCAAAAGCCTTTTATTTCAATAAATCACTGATTGCAAAAATAAAATATTATATTTTAAGACATTTTCTCAGTAATCAATGGAAATTTATCCCTGGATAAACCAAACCTTTGGGGTTTTATAGCTTTTTTTGTAGGTCTCTTTTAGGATTGCTGACCATCCTTTTTCTGCTTAAGTGCCTAAAGTTGGATGGATTCCTTTTAACCACTTAGCTGACTGTATAAATTATTTTACATAGGTTTATTTTATATAACAGGTTAGTGTTAAGTGTTTTTAATCGTACAGCAATAAACATTTGTCTGAAAGCAGTTGAAAGCAAAGCCTGGACTGAAAAGGGGGGAAATTTGTCACTGTCTAAAGTTAAAAAGGTTAAGAACCTGTCTCACAGTACTGCTTTCCAGCTCTATTATGTCACAGTGAGTCAGTACCTCATGCTAAAATTGTTCTTTTTATGAATAAATCTGTTAAGCTAATTATAAAATAGAATTTTTGTTTAAATCCAGAATTGTCTTGATTAAGAATAATTTGCATTTAATTGTTTTTGACAACTATTAAAGGGTATTTTCTATTCAAAAATGACATCAGTGCAAAGCTGCACATTCCAAATAAACATGTTGAAACCAGGCCTGTGGTAATAATTTGCTCTGAGCAGAACATAATTACAGGCTGCAGACCAAAGGCAGCTTTTCAGGAAAAAGAGAAATGTTGAACCAATGCAAATGTCATCAAATCTTTGTCAGAGATGGAACAGCTCTCTCCCAGGTCAGCTTTTGATACAGCTGCGATTTCTGCATCATGTCAAAGAGTTTCTAAGAATGATGTGAGTGTTTATTCGAAAATTAAACCTGAACCTCAGGTAGACCTCTCTGCTTGCCTCGTTAGCCATTACTAAAAGAAATGGCAAACCAAAACCCACGTATGAATCAGATCACATAGATGTGAGGAGGATTTGAAACAGGTAGTACTGATGGAGAAATCCTCAAATATCTTGCAAATAAGAGCTTTGCAATGGAGGAGTGATTACATTTTCAGCAGGATGATGACAGAGATTGATGATGGCCATTTATTAACCTTTTTAGGGTTACTGATGCATATGCATAAAATCAAGCATCACATGCTCAAATACATTCCATTCGTAGCTACTTATCGTCTGCATTCACGCCAATCTTTTGGCCTTTTGCACCTGCTTTTTTGTTGACCTATATATATATATATNATATATATGTATTAGCACAGCTGAAACATAAGTAGTAATGAACACTGTTTAAAAAAAGGCTTCAGTCTCACTGTATGTGAATTGGACGCATATTGATATTTTTATGACAGTCCGAATGTGACAAATCAGATTTTTACAAAACCCAGGCCTTTTTCGGTATGTGCAGCTTAATCAGATATGTCTGATGTTTTTCAAAGCAACTGCAGTCTGAATGTTTGTGTAGCATTTCTTCCAACTTTTTTACTTCTGTGAGGTGGGGGTGAAGGATCAATTCAAGTAATAATGATACTGACCTGGAGTCATGCAATTTAAATCTTGAAGCTCCACGTGTCTTCAGCTACAGAACAGAAGTGCAGTTGCTCCGTCTTATTTTTATTATTATTATTTTTTTTACGTTTCTAAATCCTGGTTGACTGAGAATGTACATATCATGGTACCATTGGTCTTGGACCGTATGAATACTGAAGTTACTGAATCGATATTTAAGTTTGAGCAGGCCGCTCCCATTCCAAAACATAATCTCTGGAGCAGCCGTCCGAACAGTTAAAATATGAAAGATGAATGAATAATTATTTATTCAGCTCTGATTTCACAACAACTTCAGAATCGACTGCTAACAATTAGCATACTTTTTTTAGCTAATTGTGTAAATGGTGAGCTGTGACATCACACACGTTATTTTCTTTGCATGTGGGTCACATCAGGGCTGCGGAGCATTCACACTGGAGTCAAATGGAGGTCACATTTAAAATAGACATTCATGCAAAAAAAAACAACAACAACCTATTTTTGATTAAAATGTGAATTTAACAAAGTACTAACTTTGAACATGCACATTAAAAACTGTACAAAAGTGTAAAAATATACATATTTTTTTACATTAATAATTACCAGAGCTTTTAATACTTACAGCCCAGTAACAGTATTTTAAATATGTAGTTATCCATGGATTACAATTAATAAATACAGAACAAATAACACAATAAATACTAAATGATTTGCATCTTTTTCACTTCTCCTCGTTCTGGTACACTGGTCACAATACTGCACAAACTCCAGCCTTGTGGAATAGAAACTAAAGTTCTTTGCCAGCCGCACAGGGATGACCTGTTTTTGTATGAACAGGTTGGGTTTGGTATTTTAAAAATTATATCATTGCATTGAGGCTGCAGAAGCAAGTATTAATTTTGTTTTAACAAACTCTCCCTCTGCAACAGGCTTCAGCTTCTGTGCTATTAATTTGCTCACCGTAATGTCATCTCTGCTTCTCCATCGTCTTGTAAACGCTGATTGTTGTGCATCCAAGCTCAGATGAAGCACTTTAACTCTATCTGTCCACATCCATCCTTTAACCATGCCTCATCACCTCCAGCACCTCGTCCAAAGCTGAACACACAGGTTTGTTTTTCAATCTGATGACAAAATAATCTCTTGTCAATTTCTCCTGGATAACGCAGCATTCTACCTGCGCTTTCCCGTTTTCAGTCACAGTGATCGGCACCTGTCTTGTTTGCTGATTTGTGCATTACTGTCAGTTTTGTCACAGAAAAGCCACTGGTTTTCAATATGTTTTTTCCACAAAGTTTAAAATTATTTTTGCTTTTTCTTTAAATTGCCTGACTGGATAAAAGGGTTCTGGGCACCGTTTATGGCCCAGAGACCAGTTAGCACCATTTTCCTCAATGCTCATGAACGTGGGGTGACTTTCATTATAATAATGCAGTTGTCCTTTTCTTTTGACATTTTTTTTCCATTTGAATTCAACAAATTAGGCTCACATTATTGTGCTGCAATATTTTGAGTCTGTGTGAAAATGAGGTGGATTTAAAAGGAGGCTCCTTTTTGTTTAGATATAAGCAGCTGAAAAGTCCCAGAACACTGAAACACCTTTAGTCGCAGCTGGCACTCTGTTTCAGGTTTTTTTGCACTTTGAAGATGATCTGAGCTTTCTTGAAAGGAAACCTCAAACACTTTCATCTAAAAATCAAAGTTAATATAACATGTGTAAACTAAATTATTAACTTGTCTTTTCCTGGGCAGTAATGCTGTTTTTACTCATCAAACCTCAGCAGTGCTTGAAGTGAGCAGTCTTCAATTATGTCCACTTCTTTCTTTCACTGCACTTTGCTGTCAGATAAGAACCGGTCCATCCTCTGAACCCCTCCCTCTCCTCGTGCTGCTCTCACCTTCTGCAGATGCATAGTGTTATTTCCCTGGAGCAGCAGGCTCTGATTCCCCATCCTGCATCCTGTCTGTTTGGCAGCCTACACACAAAAAAATAGAGGTACAGATATGGACCTAAAAAGGTACAAAGGCTTTGTCGCTCCAGCTGTACCCTAGTGGAGGACAATATTGTACCTCCAAACCTAGGAACAATTTTGTACCTTATTGTCTGTACCTTTAAAAGAACATTTCTGTACCTCTAGTGGCAAATATGTACCTTWATGCACAGGTACAAAACTGTACCCATTAAAAAGGTACAAATTATGTACCCGATGAGGTACAGCTGGAGCGACATGGCAAATTGTACCTTTAAGAGACAAAAACAAACCCGTACATTCACAAAAATATCCTTTATTTAGCAAAATTCATTAATTTTAAATCAGTTCATTCAGTTTAAAACAAGCTCAATAGATAAATGTGAACATGTCCATTCTCAGTGTATTCTATTAGTACAATGTTCTAAAACATTTGTCTTTACCATAAAAGCTAAACAATATACAACTGAGTAGAACAAAGAGGATGTGTTACAAGCAGGTTGTCTCGT